GATGCTAAAGAAGCAGGCAGAGTACAGATTATGAAGAGTGAGCTAGCTCATGGGGGAAACAGGAAGCCATTGAAAGGTTTTTAGAAGAAAAGTCGTAAGCATATTTCAAAAATATTCTCCTGGCTGCACTGTGGGAATGAATTGGAAAAGACCAAGAAAAGGAACTGAAACCAAAGCCAAACTCACTGTCATCCAGTCGATTCCAACTCTTAGCGACCCCCTTTTGGTCTCCAAGGCAGTAAATCTTTATAGAAGTAGATTGCCCAGTCTTCCTTCTGTGGAGGGGCTGGTGGGTTTGAACCACCAGCCTTCTGGTTAGCAGTCAAATGCCTTAGGCACTACACCAAAAGATAATGGTGAATGGAATAATGGCAATGGAGATGAGGGAAGTGAAGAGATTGGAAAGCAATTTAGAAGAGTGCAGACTTGACTGGGCAGGAAGACTAGTGCCATGATGAAGTTTTCAGACTGCTTGGGTTCAAGTCCTGGTTCTGTCACTTACGGGGGAAATTACTTAGCCTTTCCGCACCTTTCTTTCCTTTTCCTTTTCATAATCCCGCTCATGGGATCATGAGGAAAGATAATGAGATCATTCACAAAGTACTTAGAACAGTTCCTGAATGCTGCTCAAATCACTCTGTGTTCGCATTTTTTAGGTCAGGGACACTATTCTGTCAGATAGTGTAATGGTGGACACAGGATATTATGCATTTGTCAAAAACCATGGGCTGTACTATATAAAGAGTGAACTCTAACGTAAACTTTGGCCTTCAGATAATAAGAATGTATCAGTATTGGTTCATCAATTGTAACAAATGTACCACATGAATTCAAGATATTGATAATAAAGCCAAACCAAACCCTCTACCATAGAGTCAATTCCGACTCATAGCGACCCCAAAAGGGTTTCCAAGGTTTCCATAAATCTTTACAGAAGTAGATTGCCCAGTCTTGCTTCCGTGGAGTGGCTGGTGGGTTTGAACCACCAACCTTCTGGTTAGCAGTCAGATGCCTTAGGCACTGTGCTACCAGAGCTCCTTGTGTAGAGAGAAAAAGGAGGTATATGAGAACTCTCCGTGCTTTCTGCACATTTTTTCTGTAAACCTAAAACTCCTTTAAAAAATAGTCTATTAAAAAATAATTAGTGTGTGATTTCTGTCTCCTTGCTGGAACCTGACTGATACAGTAATATTCATTGAAATAGGAAATCTAGAAAGAAAAACAAGTTTTAAAAAGATAAATTCTGTGTTGGGCACTCTTGGCTTGAGATGTGTGTGGGAATTCCAAAAGAATGATCAGGTAGTAAGCTGAAAATGGAGATCGGAAGCTCAATACTCAACAGCTGGCTGGGCTAGAGAGAGAGATTTGGAAGGGGAAGTCTTCTGGCCTCCAAAATCTTAGTAAATGAAACATGTATTTAAACATCACAAATCAGTGAGATATAGGTTTTATCATTAATTTTTCATAGGCTCATACGTCCCATCAAAAGGTACTAAACAAATTAATCTCTACATGTAAGCAGCAGCACACCTTATCAAAAGATTCATGGTTTCATGCTGTGTATGTGAAGTATTGTTGTTGTTGTTATGTGCCATTGAGTCGGCTCCAACTCATAGCAACCCCTTCTTGGGTTTCTGAGGCGATATCACTATGGAAGTAGATTGCCCAATCTTCCTTCCGAGGAATGGCTGGTGGATTTGAACTGCCAACCTTCTGGCTAACAATCAAGTGCCTTAGGTACTGCGCCACCAGAGCTCCTGTATATGTGAGGTAATACTGTCCTGTATCTGTTAAAGTTTTAAAAGCTAAATGAAGGTATGGTTGAAAAGATCCAAGCCCTATATTAATAAGATGACTCTAATTACACTCCACACTTGGAAGCCTAATCTTGTGGAAGGAAGGGAGTAATCAATTACTCATACCAGCCCCTCTGGATGCTAACTAGAATCAGAAAAACTCTAACTGATGTGTCAAAATCCCAAACAGTAGCACTGAAAACTGGTGAATTGCTAAAGTGTCATTATTTGAAAACAACAACTAGATACAAACAAATTTAAAAGAAAATGTCATAGCGACGCACCAGGCTGGCATTCTGTTAGAAGTGAAGGCAAAAATTATTGTGGAAAAAGTTTCACAAAATGCGGCACATCCTAGCATCTAAGCAGGACACTAAAATGTTCCAAATAGGAGAAGGACAGGGAGTTTTTTATCAGGTGGAGTAAACAAAGAGCAGTGTGCTTGCAGGTACAGGAAGGATACAAGGCAAAGTGTTACAGGGAGTTTAAATTAAACTTTCTTAAACATTTTTCCTAATATCAATGAGTCTACAGGAGCTCTGGTAGCATAGTGGCTAAGACACTTGCCTGCTAACCAGACGGCTGGCGGTTCAAACCCACCAGCCACTCCTCGGAAGGAAGGTTGGGCAATCCTACTTCCGTAGTGATACTGCCTCGGAAACCCAAGGAGGGGTCGCTATGAGTCGGGGCCGACTCGACGGCACATAACAACAACATTTGTTAACATAGAACAATTAAGTCCTCTTGCATGTGTGCCTCTTCCTCTTATCTTAAAGTTATGTTTCTATCTTTGTTACAGATCTACAGGGAGTTAAAAGAAATGGAGCTAAACTCTTAGTGAATGAATAGTAATGCAGTCTGGTTTGGGGAGTCAGGAAATTAGAACTAAGGCTTGGTTGAATGGCATTTACCTCATCTTGGTTACAATTGCAGGGCTGCATCTTTACTTAGCATTATCAATTCTATTTTGTACTCCTGGGACATGTTGACTAAAAGTATTCTGCATAGGACAATCTTGTTTTCTTTTTTTTTTCTCCACTAGACAAACAACTTTATTTGAGATGGGCAGAGCAAGCACTCCCTTCCCACACAGTTTGGAGGCACTGCCTGCAGAACTAGGCATCAGTGACCTGTCTCTGCTGACAGGCACCGGCTAGAAAGCAAGAACCCTTGTGCAAACATTGTTGACAAACATCTTTTAACAAACGATTCCTAGCCCATGCTAAAAATCCTGACTCTTGCTTCCTTTGTGTTACAAGCAGTTAAACTTTTATAAACAGAAATTGTCTTTTAAAAACAACAGTAGTGACGATTTTGGGTCTAAATGCAGCTTAATTCAAAATGGGGTTTCAATTTTAGTTCTGGGGTAGCCATTTAGTTGTGTCGAATGCCTCAGTTTTGGGACTTTGCTTACACAAGACTCCTGCTGCTCCCTTCCCCTTTTTCTAGGATATGAACTTGGTGAACTTGCCCATTGGTTCCCACATTTCTCAAAAGTTCGGATGGATCTACTGACCGTAAAAAAAGGAAGTTCCATCAGCAGTTTGCAAAGGAACAATTTAGAAGAGAAATATATTAAATCCTCGGGGAAATTAAACCCAAATAATCCAATAACAGCTTTACAAAATTAACACTAGACCGTGAATTGAATTAATTGCCTCCTACTGTGGGGATTTGGGGCTACCACAGACCAAAACAAATGAGACCAATGATGTAAGCTGCCTAAAGAGAAGCCAGGAAAGGCAGTGGCAAATGTGATGTCGAGGCACCACCAGAGCTGACCCACTGTTGTTTTTAAACTTTTGGTTTTATTCTGGAGATCTTTAGTACAGAAAAAGGTTTCACAGCCCATCTCATTTCCCAGATTAGAGGAGGTTGGTGAAACAGGCAAGAGGTGGCATGATGGTTGGTACTAAAGCTGCAATTCTATGACTTGCTTGTTTGTAAATTCATCTCTAGAAGAAGCTGGGATGTTAGATATCAGTGTAAGGTCTTTTTATCCTGAGAGGACTGAATGGTCAGGTGTCTGTGGAAGTGAAATATCGTTTCTCCAGAACCTACTCATTAGTAATAAAGCAGATCTGTAACAATGCCAGTCAGCTGCTCTGAAAGACACTCACCATGACACTCCAGTAAATAAGCATTTATTTCTGAAAATTCTTTTCTTGTGTCATAAAGTCAGTGTGCCTGTGGCAATGAGAGATTACCTAAATAGTAAGGGGAAGGGAGCAACAAAATCAGCATGTGTGTGACTGTCCTCTGCTAGGGTTTGTAAGGGCTTTCAGCAGGAAGGTAGGGGCAGCAGCATCTTAGAGAGAAAATCCTGGTGATTGACACAGCTCACCAAGTAAGGCTCACACAGCAAATCCCAAAGACTTTGAACTACCTCCAGCTTCTCTGGAATGGCCAGTTTGTCAAAATGCCTATGGAATGGACTTCTGCACATCCTTCAGGTTACAGCTGACATTTACTCCTAAAGCTTTTTAATAACCAAACAGCATTTTACAATAAGGTAATTAATGGCATCTTATTTTGGTATTTATGTGACTTAGGATTCTTTTCACATTCTTAATATTGTTTGACATTTTGAACATATGATGCCTAACTCTTTTGTGTGACTTTAAAAAAAAAAAATAGATGGATAATTAAGAGACGGTTTGATTTTGGTGAAGGGAAAAGCAATATAATAAAAGTGTGTGACCAGCACAATATCACTAAGGAAAAGGAAGATTCAGAGAGACCCACAAGAGGTACAGACAATAAAGGCACACATACACACACAAAAAAAATAGCAAGTACTGAATAGTTTTTTTCCCCTTCCCTCATGCATTGACGCAAATATCAAAAACAAAATAGTTTTTGTTTAAGCTCAGAGAAATAAAGCATTCTGTTGGCTTGGAATCTTAATTACTATCACTCCAATCTTGCCTAATTAGAATCTCTTTCATAATGAGGAAAATTATTTTCAAAGCTAATGAATTTACAAGCAGATGCATTGCTGTCTTCCCAGAATAAATTACCCACATTCCTTACACGCATATTTTCATTACCCACTCTAATTAATATTAGTACTTAAACCATGTGGGCTTGGTTTCACTGTTAAAGGAAATTTTCCTTTGTTTTCAGAGAGTATAAAAGATCATGATTTCCCTACTTGTAGACACTGAGGCGTGCATATAAACTTAATTTTGGTTTTTTGACAAAATGGAAATTATTTCATCCAAGCGATTCAATTTATTGACTTTTGCCACTTTAAGCTTATTGACATCAAACATCTTTTGTGCAGATGATTTAATGATAACCAATCCTCACAGCAAAGAAAATTATGACAAATATTTTGAGGTAAGTTGTTTTTTTTTTTTTTTAATTTAACATGAGTGGTGTTAATGACATAATATCTGTACTGAGTCTAATGGTTTTGTAAAATGTAAAGAATAAGTTAGTTTGTGCTTTGCTTTTGGGTTAAACTTCAGCCTTGCTATAACAGTGTAATGATGTAACTTGTATTACTTAGCACAACAGCAAACAACCCGGCTTCTCTAAGGACAATTTAAGTAGACAACTAACAACAGTAACAAGAAGACTGTGGCAAATCTAAATCTAAGTAAAATGTTTATTTCCAGATAGTGAGATTACAAGTTTTTCTTTCCTTCTTTATGCTTTTCTAGAATTTCCAAATTTTCTGAAATGATAATGTATTATAGTTCACAATCAGAAAATATTATTTAAACATCTTCATACAGATCAACTGTCACAACAAAACAACAACAATAAGAACAAAAAAAAAAAACCCTTTGCCATATTCTATTGTGACTCATAACGACCCTATAGGACAGGGTAGATCTGTTCCTTGGGTTTCCTAGACTGAATCTTTGCAGAAGTAGACTGCCACATCTTTCTCCAATGGAGCAGCTGGTGGGTGCAAACCACTAACCTTTCAGTTAGCAGCCGAGCACTTAACCACTGTGCCACTAGGGCTTCTTCACAGTACAAGTAAATTTAATTAAAGAGTCACTGTATTTTGCATGAATTTATAGCGTTGGTATATCAGTGGTGGGGAAACCCACAAACCAATCAGTTCTTTACTAAAGATGCATTTCTAATAAAAAATACAACTAGTTTCTTGAGAAATGCTTTTGGAGTAGAGTTCAGACTCAAAAAAAAAAACCAAACTCACTGCCAGCGGGTGGGATCTGACTCATAGTTGACCCCTCCTTGGGTTCCTGAGGCAGTATCACTACGGAAGTAGATTGCCCAACCTTCCTTCCGAAGAGTGGCTGGTGGGTTTGAACTCCTAGCCTTCTGCTTAGCAGTCAAATATCTTAAGCACTACGCCACCAAAGCTCCTGGAGTTCAGACTTGAGAAAGGTAAAAAGAAATTCATCTTGACCTCCTACAACTATACCCCAAACCCATGTTAGCATCAGTGCCCATGTATTCAGCACTCTGGTCTTTAAAGAGGGAGAGAAAAATAAGAGACATGGAGAGGGAGTGGCAAGGTTTCTCTAAAATCAAAATACATAAAATATTTCATAAACGAGATGGATCAAAAGACTAGAAGAGAATAACTGCAGTAAAACTTTCGCCTCATTTCAATACTTCATTATGTTCCTGCTGCTTGAACACATTACTATAGTTACTATATATATTTTATTAATATTTTATAGTTGTCTTACAATAGTCTAGGGACTGAGAAACTAGATTGCTTTAAGCTTAATGCAAATTATTTATTTAAAAATTCTGCATATGAGAACACAGACTTTGTTTATAGCCTTAACAATTCTGCAGATTAAAGTCTGAATTCAATTCCAAATCGAAGTCTGTTCCTTGTAACAATAAGAAATGATTGTAATGGTCATTTCTACTTATAGCCTAGAGGAGACGCCAAAGGGGAAAAGGAAAGAGGCCTCAATTCTGAAGAATTAAAAGACTGGGAACCAAAAAACATCATTAAGATGACTACACCTGCAGTCAACAAAATGCTACGCTCAGTCACCTACTTGCCCCTGAGATTTGGGAGGACCACGGAAGAACAAAGTCCTGCACCAATGGCCAACTTGCCCCTGAGACTTGGAAGAAATATGGGGGGAAGCATCCTGAGACGTGTTCCTAATCTGCCCCAAAGGTTTGGGAGAATGGTAGCGGCCAATAGTGTCACTCAGGCATTGAGTGATTTAATCCAACAATCCATGGATTCACCATCCATCAGTGAGTTACTTTCCTCCATGACCTGCCAGTCCCAAGAAATCCAGAATCCTGGCCAAAATCTCCCAAGGTAACACTAAAAACCAGTTAACATACATTAAAAGTTATAGAAAGCTGGTCCAGAAACTTGCAAAACGTTGTATCTTATCAAAGTGTCTAAGAAGGAGAACAACAAGAATATAGGGGAATAAATGCCTACACATCTAGAACTGCAGAAGGCCAGGTATAGAGTAATAAGATGGTTTCTCCTAAACCACACATGGGCATCAATCTCATTACTCTATACTCACACATGATAAGTCCATGCAATGACAGGATTGGGAATTTAACTCTGTACTATGTTGTCTGGCATTCAACCTCCCTGGTATAGAAGGTCCCATGTGAGGGAGTTGCCCACAAGTATTAAGGTTGCCATCTCAGTGACTTAGGTCCCAAATTCAGCAGGTTTTCTTCACCAACTTTTAACCAGCTTTTTTCTTTTTCCTAGATCTTATTTTATTTACCAAACGTATTATCACTTTGCATCAGTTAATAAGTAGTTAATAGTATCAGAGCCCTGGTGACACAATGGTTAAGAGCTCAGCTGTTAATTGAAAGGTTGATGGTTCAAACCTATCACTGGTTCCATGGGAGAAAAGACCTAATGAATTTACAAGCACATACGTTGCCAATCTGCTGGCATCTGCTCTTGTAAAACTTCTGGTCTAGCAAACCCTGTGGGGTAGTTCTACTCTATCCTTTCAGGTCACTTTTTGTGATTTTGTGAGTCAAAATCAACTTAATGCCACAGAACAACAACAATATCTATACAAATCAGAAAGCAAGGCACTGTAAGAGATTCAAAATTAATTATAAGCTACCTACCTATTATTACCTAGTACAGTTGTTGTTGTTGTTATGTGCCGTCAAGTCAGACCCGACTCATAGCGACCCCTCCTTGGGTTTCTGAGGTGGTATCACTACGGAAGTAGATTGCCCAACCTTCCTTCTGAGGAGTGGCTGGTGGGTAGAGAGTACATGTGAAAAATAATAATAATAAAAAGCACGATTTAATGCACAATGGAACATGATAGTTTATTTAAGACCTGAAGGAAGTAAGGTGGCAAGCTGTATCTTATCAGTAAGACCTTCTCAGACAACCCCTGTTGTTGTTATGTGCCGTCGAGTGGGACCCCGCTCATAGCGACCCCTCCTTGGGTTTCCGAGGCAGTATCACTACGGAAGTAGATTGCCCCATCTTCCTTCAGAGGAGTGGCTAGTGGGTTTGAACCGCCAGCCTTCTGGTCAGCAGTCAAGTGCTTTAGGTACTACGCTACCAGAGCTCCCCAGACAATCCTAGGTCTCCCTTAAACTGTTTTATTTCTCTCCACAGTATTTATCCCCATTTGGCATATTATATATTTGGTGTCTCTTCTCTTTACTAGAATTTCAGTTCTGTAACTCCAATAATTTTTGTTCATTGGCATATCCCCAGTGCATAGAACTGTGCTATATATGTTGTTATTTGTTGTTATGTGCTGTCGAGTCAGACCCGACTCATAGCG